GCATGGATTCTTGATTCTGGATGTTCTTATCACATAACACCTAACAGAGAGTGGTTTACTTCATACAGGTCAACTAATTCTGGCTCAGTCTATTTGGGTGATGATAGATGCTGCAATATAGATTGTATTGGAGAAGTCAGAATTCAGATGTATGATGACACTGTTAGAACGTTATGTGATGTCATACATATTCCAGATCTGAAGAAGAATTTAATTTTCTTGGGCACTCTACACAGAAATGGTTTTATTCCTAAGACTGATGAAGATAGGAAAACCATCAGAATTGTTAAGGGTGCACTGACTGTGATGAAAGAAAAGTTGACTGCAGGTAATATCTATAGACTGTTAGGGAGTATAGTTGTAGGTGGAGTTTATTTTGTAGAGTCAGATAATGGCAGTACAAAACTATGACATATGCGTGAAGAAATTCTTTGTAAGTTAAAAGCTGCAAGCTCGATCTCGATCTTTGTACGTGGGATGACAGAATTGCTTAGAAGAAATCTGCTACATGGGGTTAAAAGCTGCAAGCTCGATCTTTGTAAGTTCTGTATTCTTGAAAAACAGACTAGAGTCAATTTTATGACTGAAAAACACAAAATTGAAGAAATTCTTGATTATGTGCATTCTGATGTATGAGGCTCTACTAGGGAGTTGTCATTAGGAGGATCTCAGTATTTCGTTACCTTTATTGATGATTTCTCCAGGAAAATTTGGGTGTATTTCTTGAAGTAGAAATTTGAAGTTTTCTCTAAATTCAAGCTGTGGAAAGCTGAGGTGGAGAACCAAACTGGCAGAAAGATCAAGTATTTGAGATCTGATAATGGTACAGAGTACACATATTCACAATTTCAGAAGTTCTGTGACGAGCATGAGATTCAGAGGCATTTTTCAGTGCGGAAGACACCACAACAGAATGGTGTGGCAGAAAGGATGAACAAGTCCTTAACTGAAAGGGCGAGGTGCTTGAGACTGAATGCAGGGCTTCCTAAGAGTTTCTGGGCGCAGAGGCTGTGAATATGGCATGCTATCTCATCAATAGATCACCTCGAACATCATTGGGTGGCAAGGTTGCAGAAGAGGTATGAACAAGTAATCCAATTAAATTTGATTATTTACGGATTTTTGGATGTTCTGCTTATATGCATGCAAAATCCAAGAAGTGCATCTTTCTGGGCTACAAGAAAGGTGTGAAAGGATACAAGTTTTGGGATCCGATTGCAAAGAAGATGATGATCAACAGAGATGCAATTTTTTATGAGCAGTTTATGTTACAGCAGAATCAAGACTAGGTGCCAGAGAAGAGTTCCAATTCAGATGCAGTGCAGATGAATTTAGAACAACAACCAGCAACTTCTGAGAGAGGTGAAAGTTCAAATCCAACACCTGGTGATTTTGGTCCAGATGATCTGCAGAATTATAATATAATCAGAGATAGACAGTGACACACCAATGTAAGCCCTCCTAGTAGATTGAGTTATGAAGACTTAGTCTCATGTGCACTTCTCATCAACAGCGATGATCCAACCACTTTTCAAGGAGCTATCACTAGTCAGGAGAAAGAAAAATGGATGGGTGCAATGGTTGAGGAGATGAAGTCTTTGCAGAAAAATCACACTTGGGAGCTAGTTCAGCTTCCAGAGGGAAAGAAGGCTATTGGGTGCAAATGGGTCTACAAAAGGAAACCAGCAGTATCAGAAAAAGAAGGGGAAAAGTTCAAGGCTCGACTGGTTGCAAAGGGATTTTCACAGCAGAAGGGGATAGATTATGATGAAATCTTTTCTCCTGTGGTCAGACATACTTCAATCAGAGCAGTGCTTGCATTAGTAGCTATTTGGGATTTGCATTTGGAGCAGATGGATGTTAAAACTGCTTTCTTGCATGATGATTTGGATGAGCAAATTTACATGTAGCAGCCAGAAGGGTTCACTCAACCTGGACAAGAGCATATGATTTGCAGGTTGAAAAAATCGTTGTATGGGTTGAAACAGTCTCCAAGAACAGTCTACAAGCAGTTTGACTCCTACATGATGCAGATTGGCTACAGGCGATGTGAGTATGATTGTTGCGTTTATGTGAAATGATTGCTGATTGCTGTGTTTATGTGAAGAGCCTTGATGATGATTCTATTATTTTTCTGTTACTGTATGTTGATGATATACTGATTGCTGCAAAGAATATGAATGATTACCGTGGTTTGAAAGCTTTATTAAGTTAGGAATTTGATATGAAAGACGTGGGTCCTACGAAGAAGATTCTTGGAATGAAGATTCATCGAGACAGAGGCTCAAGACGATTATGTCTTGTTCAACGAGGCTATGTTGAGAAAGTGCTGGAAAGGTTTGAGATGAG